CAGGGCGGGGGGTTGTCAGGGCATAATTGTCCCCCAGCAAAGTCTCCTCCCTCCTTCGCTTCCTCCTGTCCTGCCTCCTCACCTCCTGGGCCCACTCTTTTCAAGCTTCCTCGGGTCCCACCTCCCCTTTCCCAGGAAAAATACCTCTTCCCTTGACCCTCCCCCACTCACACGGCCCTCATCCCTGTAGCCCCCACTCGCCCCCAAGCCAGTCCCTTTGAAAAGACCATCAGTGTGGCCGTCTGTGCAGCAACCCCCCCCCAATCTGGATGAGGACTCCAGCCCCCAGTAAACAGTGCAGGTCCTGCCCCAGGGCCCCCCTCCACACCAGGAAAGCCCCCCTAGAGTCTAGGTTGAGTCCTCTCTGAGGACCCGGCTGCTGGGTCCTCTGCCACCTTCCTGCACGTGTCCCTCCCATGATCCCTGCCCCCCCCTCAATCCCCGTTGACCAAGGGAGCAGCCAAACCTAGGCCACTCTCTTCGGGTCCTGGGCAGCCCGAGGCTCTGCTACCCCACCCTCCATCCTGCCCGTCACTTCCTCTCACGCTGGGATGCGCCCTGGGCTCTCAGACCCCTACAGCCTCAACCCTGCTCTGTATTTTCTTTTCTGATATATTTTTATTGATTTCCGAGAGGAAGGGAGAGGGAGAGAAACATTAATGATGCGAGAGAATCACTGATTGGCTGCTTCCTGCATGCTCCCTACTGGGGATCGAGTCCGCAATCCAGGCATGTGCCCTGACCTCCAATTGAACCCTGACCTCCTGGTTCATAGGTTGATTCTCACCCATGAGCCACGCCAGCCGGGCACCTGCTCTGTATTTTTGCTGCTCCTCCCTCCTGGGCCCCACTGCCCCTCGGTCCCACCATCCCCGCAGCAGCTGCTCTGTACCCCCTCGGAGCCGGAGCTCCATCCTCCGGCTGTCCAGCAGACTCCATTGTCCCCCACCCCCAAATCCCATCAAATACCAACCCCGACCTCCAACACTTGTCCCCACTCTGTCCTCGCTGCCCAGTGTAAGGCTCAGCACCCCCAGGGTAACTGCAGCCGCCCCACCCCACCCCCTGGGCCCCCCTCCACTCTGCATGTGGGCAGGGGGCACAGGCAGACCAGCGTGCACCTGGCTGGGCCTTTCACAGCCGCTGCGGCCCTACCACCCGAGGACTTGGACCTGGGCCTTCCAAGAGCCTGCAGCCCCCAGACACGGTGCCAACCCAGGGCAGATGGAAACACCTGGACACAGGCTCCTTGCCCTCCTGCCCTGGTCCCTGCAGTATCTCAGCCAACTCGTGGCCCCTAGGACCACCAAGGCCTTCCTTCCCGGGCCCAGGCAGAGCTCAGCTCAGCGCCACCTGCTCCCCCAGCCTCAAGGCAGGTCTGGGCCCCTGGGCTGTGCCTTGTACCTGCCCTGGCCTGGCTGGAGGCAGCAGCCTACTGAATCCCCAACGCCGGCCCCCGGCCCACTCCCACTCACCCTCCTCCTGGAACACGCCTCCCTGGACAAGTTTAAAGGACAGAAAGACAGCGCCCTCCTGCTGCAGGGCAGTGGAGTGCGGGGGCATGGAGCCTGGGGTGATGCCCCCAATGTCGGCGTGGTGCCCGCGGCTGGCCACGTAGAACACAGGTCGAGTCTGACCCGGCCAGAACACCTAGGAGTGGAGAGCGGCAGTCAGCTGTCTGGCCTCCCTGCCCCCCCTTCTGGCACACTCCTCCCCACTCCCCCCCAGGCCCCAGGCAGAGGCCCTCACCGGTGTGATGACCGTCAGGTCTGGCAGGTGGCTGCCCCCGGCACTGGGATGGTTGCTCAGCATCACGTCGCCAGGGTGCAGGTCAGCCCCCAAGTGCTGGATCTGAAGCCAGGACACAGGTTGGGGGTCGAGAAGGGGCGGGGCTAGGGGTGGGGCAGATGAGAAGGCGGGAAGAGGACCTGGTCAACCTGGAACTGCACGGTCTCCTGCATGGCGCCCAGGTGCACAGGGATGTGGGGGGCGTTGGAGACCAGCCCCCCGTCAGGCCCGAAGAGGGCGCAGGAGAAGTCCAGGCGCTCCTTGATGTTGGTGGAGATGGCCGTGCGCTGCAGGATGCGGCCCATCTGCTCTGGAGGAACAAGTGACGGTGCTGCTGGCCCCACCTCGCCCACAGCTCCGCCCCCGGTAGGAGCGGCAGGACCCACGTCCCTGAGCCAGGCCCCAAGGGCGGCGGCGGCCCACCTGGACGCCAGGTCTCGCCCTCCCCCACCGCGGCCTGGAGCCCCAGCACGAACCCGGGGTCCCACATCAGTCCCTGCCCTGCCAGGCACCGCCAGAGCCTGGGGCCCCTGGCCTGGCCCTGCTCGGATCGGTTCACTGCTCAGAGCCTGCTTCCTGCCCACAACCAGAGGCTGCTGTGGAGGGAAGCACGCTCCGCCCGAGGCCGGCGGGTGCAGGGAGGCGGTGCCCCCCCAGAGCCAGGGCCACGCCGCTCGGCCTGTCACAGCCACGATCCTGCTGCTGCCCCTCCCCCGGCAACACCTTCTGCACCGCCTGTGCCTGGCTGGCAGACCCCCCACCGGACCCCACGGGGAGGAGGGCCGGGAGGACAGCGGCACGCACACTCACCCGCGATGCTCATGAAGCGGTGTGAGAAGATGGACAGGTGGATGGGGTCGAGCTGGGCGCCCACCGTGCCGGAGGTCTCGGCCCCCACCGAGATGCGGATGTCCCCCGTCTCCGTCACCTCTGCCTGGCAGCCCGGTTCCACCAGGATGGTGCTGGGGGCAGGGGCACAGGGGGGCTGGAGGGGCCAAGCCAGACCCCACTCCCAACCAGGAACCTCGCTTCCCCAGGCGGGGGTCCCACCTAATGGGACCCTAGAGTCCAGATTCCTGCAGCCTCGGGGGCCAGAGAACCCCCTGCCAGGCCCCCGTAGCTGTGGCCCCGACCTGCACCCCCAGGACCCGACCTGCTGGCCTCAGCCCACCTGTTGCTGTCGATGATCAGGCAGGGTCCCTGGAGCTTGTGCCCGTAGCCCAGCTCTCCCAGCAGGAACACGGGGGTCTCCTGGTAGCCCCCCTCAAAGTAGCACTGGGTCATCTGAGGAGGTGGGGGGTGAAGGAGGCCCAGCACCCAGGTCCCCCGCCTCGCCATCCCCCCCTGCCCGGGTCCCCGAGTGCACAGGTGGGTGTGGGTGGCAGGGCCACTGACCTTGTCTACCCGAGGGGGCCCCATCTGGGCTTTGGCGACATCCTCCAGGCGAAGGCCGCTGCAGCCAGTGCCCCTCACCCGCACATCGTCCACCACCACCGACCGCTCAGGGATGACGAAGCCAAACTCCCTCATGTACCTGCGCCCGCCGGCCCGAGGGAGCGGTCAGGGCCAGGCGGCCCGGCCAGCAGGTGACCCACCAGGGCTCCCAGGCCTCGAGCTGGCGTACCTCTCCACGAACGCTGCCCCGAAGTCGCCGGCGCGGGGAGAGCGGGCAGTGGCCGGGTGCTGGTGGGCGGACACCATCAGGGCGCAGTCCGTGCCCTGGTAGCGCAGGTGCAGGAAGCCCTCGGTGCGGATCTGGGACCTGCGGGGTGCACGGGCGGGACCCTCACACGGGCACCCCGTGAGGACGCCCGTCCCACCTCCTCCAGCCTCAGGGTCCATTCCTCCCTGAGCACTGCCCGAAGGGGGCCTGGCACCAAGGGGGAAGTCAGGTGCTGAACCAGCCTAGAGGGTGCCTGGGATGCTGCAAGCCCTGGGCCCAGCCCAGCCCAGCCCAGCCCCCAGGACCCCACCTGGGGAAGCCCTGGGCCCGCAGGGCGTCCACACACTGCTCCTCCAACCGGCTCAGCCTCTGGTCCAGCTGCAGGAAGGTCTCAGGCACGTAGGGCAGGGAGCAGGGCTCCTGGGCCTCGTGCACCACGTCGGCCAGCGCTAGCCCCAGCGCCGACAGCAGCCCGCTGTGCCTGCGGAGACGGGGCCACCGGGCGGTGAGGGGAGCCTCCCCGGGCCGTCCCCCCTCCTGGGCCCCGGGCCCCAGGCCCAGACACACCTGTGAATGTACACAGTGTCCATGCCCAGGGCCCGGGCGATGGCACAGGCATGCTGCCCGCCAGCTCCTCCGAAGCAGGCCAGCACGTGTGCCGAGGGGTCGTGACCTCGTGCCTAGGGAGCCAGAGGAGGGTCAGGGGCCTAACCTACCCTGTTCAGCTCCTGACCCCTCACCCCCCGGGGGTTGCCTGAGTGGGAGGGGCCGGGGGCAGGGCTGGCGTACCTGGGTGAGGGCACGGATGGGCCGGCACATGGCCTCGTTGGCCACACGCACGAACCCCATGGCCACCTCCTCTAGGCTCAGTGGGGAAGCGGGGCAAGGCCCGTTGGTCAGGAAGCTGTTGATGTCGGCGGCCACAGCCTCCAGGGCCTTTCGGGAGGCCTCCGGAGACAGAGGCTGGTCCTCTCCCGGCCCAAAGATGCAGGGAAAGGAGGCAGGCAGCAGGCGGCCCAGAACCAGATTAGCGTCCGTCACGGTCACGGGGCCCCCTGGGGGGTGTGCACAGCGTGGGGTTGGGGGCTGAAGAGGTGGGTGGGCCTGGGCAGCAGGGGAGGGTCCTGCAGGGGGACCCCAGATCTTACCTTTACGGTAGCAGGCGGGGCCAGGGTGGGCTCCTGCAGACTCCGGCCCCACCACAAACAGGCCGGACCTTGGGGGAGAGACAAGTGGAATTGGAGGCGGGTTGGGAGGCAGGGCAGGGGGTCCTGGCCCAGGTGGGGAGCTGACCTGAAGAAGAGGCGGGAGCCCCCGCCAGCTGCGACCGTGTTGATGTCCAACTGGGGGGCCTGGAGGGTGACGCCGGCCGTGCTGGCCTCAAAGACGTGCTCGAACTCCCCCGCGTAGCGGCTCACGTCCGTGGATGTGCCTGGTGGGGGGTCTGGTGGTGAGTGTCACCCCGCAGACCTGGACGCCTGCGTTGCCCACCGGCGGCGGAACCTCCCCTGGAAGGCTCGTACCCTTCGGCCCTCGTACCTCCCATGTCAAAACCAATGACAGGCTGGCCACCCTCGGCCTGGTAGGTCGTGGCAGAGTAGCCAACCACGCCCCCAGCGGGGCCCGACAACACGGCGCGGGAACCACTGAAGGCGTCCATGGGCGCCAGGCCGCCATCGGAGCGCATGAACAGCACCTGCACGTCCTGCGGGCGGGTGGGCAGGCGGTGAGGGGCCGGGCAGGCCCCGGGGAGGGGGGCTGGAGCGGGCGGCGGGGGTCTCACCTTGAGCTGGCCCTGGAAGCCCCGGCAGAAGCCCTGCACGTAGCGCTGGATGGCGGGGGTGAGGTAGGCGTCGGCACAGGCCGTGTGCCCCCGCGGCACGATGCGCACCATGGGCATGGCCTCCGAGGACAGCGCCACGTGCGTGAAGCCCATCTCCCGGGCCAGTGCACCCACCTGCTGCTCATGCTGGGCCCACCTGCGACAAGGACCTGCAGCACTGCCCTTCCCACCCTCGCCCCCACCCCAACCACTGCCCCCCACTCGGTCCTGGCCTGCTGCTCAGGAGGCTTCCGCCCCCCACCCCAGGGGGGGCAGAGCTGGGAGGGGCATCCAGGTCTGGGAGGGGCTCTGGGAGGAGGCAGAGCTGCAGGACCAGGCTCTGGGAGGAGGCAGCCCGAGGCAGGGCCAGGGCGGGGCAGGTTGGGGCGCCAGGCCTAATGCCCCCACTTCCCCAATGCCCTGGTTGGGGCGGAAACCCAGGGCCTGGAGCAGGCCTTTCAGAGGGGGAGGCGCTGCCAGGAGCCCTGGACCCGGCACGCGCACTCACGTGTAGGAGTGCATGAGGACCACCGCCAGGCTGCGGATGCCACGGTCCAGGAGCCCCTCCAGCTTCCCCCGCAGGGCCCCCAGGTCCACGGGCCGCTGCACCTCCAGCAGGTCCCCCGTGCAGCCTGCAAGGAGGCCACCACTGCCCATCAGAGGCCCCGGGATGGTGCCGCCGAGGCACACGCCTGTCTACTTTTCAGACCTCCCCCCAGGATATTTTTCCATCGATTGTTAGGGAGAGTGGAAGAGAGGGAAAGAGAGAAAAACATCCTGTGAGAGAAACACATTGATTGGTTGCCTCCGACCAGGGCCCAGGCCAGGGAGGAGCCTGCAACCAAGGTACATGCCCTTGACAGGAATCGAACCCGGGACCCTTGGGTCCGCAGGCCGACGCTCTATCCACCGAGCCAAACCGGCTAGGGCTGGAGGCACACACCTTTTTAAAAAATATATATTTTTTGTTGATTTCAGAGAGGAAGGGAGAGGGAGAGAAAGAAACATCAATGATGAGAGAGAACCATGGATCGGTTGCCTCCTGCACGCCCCCTACTGGGGATCGAGCCTGCAACCTGGGCAAGTGCCCTTGACCAGAATCGAACCCGGGACCCTTCAGTCCGCAGGCCGACGCTCTGTCCACTGAGCCACACCGGCCAGGGCGAGGCACACACCTTTGACAGGCGTCCCGGAGCCCGGCTCCCCACGATACAGCACTACTCGTTCATCCACCTCCAGCACCTCTTCGTACAGCATCTCGGGCATGGGCACGGCCTGGGGGTGGCAGAGGCTTAGCGGGGGCCCAGGCCTGAGGGTCCTGGCTGGGGTCCCGCATGGGTGGGCCGTGCAGGCACGGAAATGTGTCCCAACAGGCCCATGGGCAGGCTCTGGAGACAGTCAGAAGGGGCAGCCCCAGCACGGCCCACCCAGGAGGCGGCTCCCTCCCCCCTGCCCCCCCACAGCTGAGCGTGGCCAACTTCCGTGCCCCCGCAAAAGCAGCTCCTTCCCCCAGCAGGGAACAGGCTGGGGTGAGCTACCTCACACCTGGGCCCAGGTGTGGTGGCAGATGAGGGGGGAGAGGAGCTGGGGAAGTTGCACCCCAGAGGCGGCTGAAAGCACTCAGAGCCACCTCGCTGCCTACCAGCTGGTGGCCTGGGCTGGCACTGCCCCTTCCAAGGGTTGCCCACCCCACGAGGACCCAGCCGCCTGCTGGCCTGGGGGAGCTCACCAGGTCGAAGAGGTCCTCCCGGGCCTGGGTGCCCACGTGCAGCAGGTCCCGGAAGCCGCGGGTCACCAGCAGCGCCACCCGCTCCCCCTGCCGCTCCAGCAGCGCGTTGGTGGCCACGGTGGTGCCCATGCGGATGCTGGCGATGCGACTGGTGTCCAGAGGCCGGTCCCTCGGCAGCAGCACACCCCCCTCCTGGGGACCACGGTGGGGTCAGGCTCTGGCCCTGGGCCCCTCCCCGCCCTGCCCCTCTGCCCCCCCCACCTGCTCCAGGATGCGGCGGATGCCCTCGGTGGGGGCGTCCACGTAGTTGGCAGGGTCCTCCCGCAGCATCAGCGGTACCCGTATAAGCTTCACTTGATATTAGAGACCTAACCTTCCCTACATATCCTAACAAGATTATGTCAAAATTGATAGCTATTATAGTGCCTACTGCTCCTACACGGTCACATTTGACTACTTAGGTACTTAGATTTTCTATATCCCGTATTAATGCATACTGTGCAAAGTT